AGAAATAATAAGTCATAGATTTTGGCTGTAGGTGCATGGGAAGCTCTTGGCACAACTACTCAGCTGAGTCAGATAAGCTGAGACTTGGCCCAGCATCAGATAATGTCCAAAGCATCCAGAAAACCCTCAAAGATCACTATTATTTGATGTGCACAAACGTGCTGGGTTTCGATGAAGAGATTCTCCAGAATTCAGGGAGTTTTAGCTCCACTTTGCACATATTCAGAGAACCCCAAGATTATAGATGTCTGCCCCCAACATGTGGAGGTGCAGCCAACAGGGCAAAGGAGGGATGCTGCTACAGCCTTCATCTCTAATACCTGGTCTCACACCTGCTCGTAGCAGTCTTCAGTTTCTGAATTCCTCTTGTTCTTACTCCTCAGTTTGAGTCCCCAACACCAGGTTATTGTGTAAGTGTTTCATTTAAGGTCAATAAAAACTGGCTTCTGCTTCTTAGTCCTCCCACAGAGACCCTTCTGGATAGATCAAGACCTTTGGATTCACATCTGAAACCAAAGCTAACCTTTAGGGTGCCGAGGTCATCCCCCTCAGGAGGTCTCTTGATCCCACAGCTTTTTTAATCACAGGGTCAACATAGTTGGGTTCATGGTAGAAATATGAGTAAAGCTTGAGTATGTGCTACTAAAGTTAGATCTGAGCCTCTTCAGGCTGAAGTACAGAGTTGAGTACAAACAAGCCATCTTCTTGCTCTCTCTCAACTGCGAAGTGATTCACACCCAGAGGCGTCAGAGCAGCTCCCACCTCCTTCATCTTTCTCTCTGAGCTGCCTCCATCCCACCTCAGTCTAGTCAAAGGAAAATGCCAGAACTCTGGAGCTGAAGGTCCCCAAAAGCCCAGCAGAGCAGCCCTGTCACAGGGGAAACTACCCCAGCAGAAGCCTGGGGGCAAGTGTTGCCAGAAAATGGTTTCAATTCCTGAAGAGGAAAAGTATTAACAGGGGGAATCCCATCACGCCCTGATGTGCTGTGCTTTTGACCAAGGGCTCCTTGCATGAAGAGGAGCCTCAGCAAGTTCTCTCCCCACCTTCCTGGGGTCATTCCCTACAAAGATCCCTCCAGGGCTGTTTAAATCAACCTCTGTTCTGGAATGCAGCGTAAGTCAGGAAGTCCTTCAGGTGTGAGCTAGTTTCTAGGAGCAGACTGTCATAGCTGACGGTCGTGTCGGAGGAAAGCTTTCCTAAAAAGCCAGGAAAACCCCTGGCTTTTAAGCACCCATCTGTGTATTCCGAATCTCTCCTTTCGGAACAGGCAGCTACTACTGCAGCTACACAGAGCAGGGAGGTTTATACTCTCTTCTGAAGTCCCTTGCACGGAAAACAGGTTGGAGTCTGGGTTTCCAGAGGCCTGACACAATGTCTTAGGAGAAACACATTTAAAGGACACTTACTGTATGGTCCAACCCCTTATTGCGGGAAGAAAGCCAACAGGGAAGTATTTTAGAAGACTGAATTAAGCATCTTAAAAGCATGATTCGGACACAGCAATGACTTCAGAGCTGATTTCACTCTTGGAATACCAAGTAAAGAAATTCCCCCTCCCCCTTTCTGACTCAGCAATCATCCTTTCCAAGGGCAAATACAGCAAAAGTAACAAGAGGGACCCCACTGCGAAGTGTAGAGACCCAGCGCTAACTCGAGACGTGGCACAGACTGGTGAGGTCACTAAAATTGGACTGTGGAACAAGCCCGTGGCGCATCTCAAAGCCACTCTCACTGCTTGTTCATGCTATAGGGAACATCCAGGATACAGCTGTTCGGGCCACATTGCAGAAGGGACAACCCAAGCAAACCCAGATCCCATAGGGAAAGCAGAGGGCATCATGGTAAGCTTTCTGTGAGCCAGTTGTGGATCCCGTGCCCTGCTCACCACCAACAAAAGAAACAACCAAAGAATTCAAAGTTTTATTCTTTAAAAAAGTTATTTAAGAAGCAAAATAATTTACTTCAATTCAAACCAAAAGAGATGCATTATTGGAAGCAAATAATTATACAAAGTAACAACAAATTAGCCCTTGAATAAAAAGTCCAGATTCCAACAGTTCCCTACAATCCAGGAGGTTACACACAAACACTCACTCAAGGCTTGGGGAGTAAAAAGGACCATGAAATTCAAACTTCCACTACTCTGCTTCCCCACAAAGGCTTGAAGCTGCTTGAAATCCAGTTCTAAGTCACTGCACTAAGCTCCCATGGCTGGAGCATCACGGTGACCATCCGAAGTCCAGCTGATGACAGAACAAAATCTGAGCAGTGTTGTTTGAACGAGACCGTGGCGCGGGGACACGAACGGGAACAAGCCACAGGGTTCCACTACCTCACAATCAAACAGCTGCTCACGGGCCGTAACAACAGCAACCTTTGTTTTCTTATTGGCACTCGTAGTTTTTGAACAAGAGCTTTACCCTTTTGTTATATTTAACCTCAAAGCTGTTCCTGCCCATTTCCCCCAGCAGAACAGGGCAGTTCACTTGGCACTAACACAGTGTTTTGCTGTTAGTTCTAAATAACACCTGGACTAAATCTACAAACCCCCCTTTCCCAGGGACTTGTGCAAAAACTTCTGTGCTTAGAATCTACATGATTCCCCCCGAAAGTCCTCGGGGCTTTGTCATTCCACAGTTCTCTCTCAGGTGCCACCAAAATCAGGGTTCTCATACAGACAGCTAGAAATGAAGTACAACACCCTGAGTTTGTATCACTCTACATCTGAAACTAAAATTGTGCACGTGAGAGGGAGCACAGCCCGCGTAGATCAGCTCTGCAGCATCCCCTCTAAGGCTCCAGAGGTGAATCCACACTGACTCGTCCTTACCAGATCATCTTCGCTTCTAAGAGGTTATACAGCCCAAAAGAAAGGGAACCCCAAAGACAAGGCAGATGCATTTGCCAGTTCTCAAACGAGCCTGAGAATTCACAACTTGTGGAGTTATAGCTAGGAGGCTTTTGAATGACAACTACAACATGCCCTGCAATGGGGAGATGAACCTCCATCCAAAAGAGTTTTCCATACATGACCACACAACCTCCAAACATCCAATGCCAGCTGGACAAGGTTTCCCACGGCCACAGGCTCTGATCTCTGTACTCCTGTTTGCCAGGAAAGAAACTCCCAACTTTCCCAATAAGCAAAACCCATCAATGTAGCCAGATGACGAGATCTCCCCATTCAAACACAGTGCAAACTCCACCCTGCTGCCTCTCCTGTGTGACCAGATGTGCATCCCAAAAGCTGCCATCTTCCACATACAATTTATTAAATGGACAACAGCTTGCCACATTTGTCTTTAGAAGCAGACACCCATCTGCTGCCCAGGGTGCTGAATTCTTTCACCTGCCACTTCTCTTCTTGCACCAAATAAACCCTGCTTGCTGCTTCCAGCCAGGACAGCTCGCAGCGAGGGTAATTCTGTCACATTTAACATGCAGGCATGAGATCATCTTCAGACGAACTCACCTTGAGTTACCATTTGTGTGTTGCTGGGAAACAATGTGTTACGTGAAAGCATTGTGGGTTTAGTTTTTCATCAGTGTCTCATCAGGCAAGGGTAAAACAAACTGCAAACAGTACTTACAAGGATTATCACTGGTAAAGAAAACCTGATGCGGATCGAGCCTCTTCCGTTACAAGAGGAGAATTAAGAATGTAAGTACTGGAGGGAGCACTATTAAAAGGAACAATTTCTTCTCTCAGCATTTACTGATTCCTAATTTCCCTTTGAAACTGAGAACTCCAAGCGAAGGTGTAGGAATCTGACACCAAACAATGAAGCCTCTTGCAACGTCTCTGCTCATGCTGGTTCAAAGCATGCTCCCTCTGTTGGCTGAAGAATCTTGACTTCCAGATACCAACTGGGAATTCAGCTTTGCAGTGGGACACACTGGCTGACCACACAGAATAAAACCCAGCAGCACAAGAACTGGGGAAGGTCACAGCATTCCAAGGAACACTGGTAGGTTTTGCAACAGTGACCATGCTCGTACATCTGTATTCTACAAGGTGACGACGTGTTGTTCCAGGAAGAACTCACCCAGCTGATGCAGTAATTCTGTTGTGCTCTGGGGCTGTTAGAACAAGTCCAGAATTCCCATCAGTAAAACATAGCACCTTCTGCACAGTCATTGCTGAACTCGCTGCCTTCCTCATTCTGCAAGGATGCTGCAATCAGAAGCCAGCTCTGTTCCTATTCTAGCTCACTGCCTTCTCCGCTCAGCTTGGATGTACGTGACAACCACTGCACCAAGCAGAGCCAGCCTGAAATCCCACACTCCTCCCTGACATGGAGACTCTCCAGCTACATTTTACAGAGAGGCTACTTGAAGAGACTGTGGTTTACAGTCTGCTGGTAAGAAAGTAGTTCAGAATAAAGTAGTTTGCAAGTTACAGAGCTGAGTAACAGCTGTCCGAGTTCTCTAACCTCCAGCTATTAGATTAACTATTGAGAAGCTGCCCGTAAATGTTGGCAGTTACTGTTAAAATGAACAGGTGACTAATTTGGTCCAACTCAGAAGAGATGCGAATGCTGCAGAAAACCAATATCAACAGTTCCACCTACAAAGAAAGTAAAAGCCCGAGGCAGGATGTCCCCCTCCCTAGTTCAAGAGCCTTTACAAGTGCCTGCTGGATCTTCCAGTCTATAAAACTCTTGGGTTAGTATCCTGTCAGGCAAAGGTATCACCAACACAAGATTTGCCTGCTTCAGACAATAAGCTCCCAAGAAATTCCAGTCCTTGGGGTTTTCCTCAACCCAAGGGAACAGGGGACAACTTCCAATCTTCTTAGCAAACAGGCACTTAAGTTAGGAAAGGTAACTCCTTTTTATTACAGAAAATGAAGGATCAGTTAAGTGGTACTCCTGGCACAAAGGAGATGTTGCAAATATGCTGTAGGGGTGCAGAGAGAACAGATTACCAATGTGATACGTGACAGGAGCATCCATGGTGGCAAAAGCATTTCGGACATGAGCTGCCAAGCAACGATCAGTGCTACTCCTCTGACTGTGCTGCAAATCAGAATCCAATCGAAAGGGGACAAACATCGCTTCTAGCTTTTTACTCTAGAGGTAAAGTGTCATCTTTTTCACAGCATTGAGTCTCTGTAGTTCATTTAATTCTTGTGACCGGTTTTCTTCTTGAACAAACCCAGATAACACAGTGAGAAAAGAATCCCAGTACATCAAGAGATGCGACTGCTCCGTTAGCTGAGCAAGGAGGTAGATGCCAGAGATGTTCTCTTCAGATGGAGCACAGAAAAGGACCTTGTGCTAGTTAAGTGGTACCAAGATTCTGGTCACTGGCACCAAAATACTGTAGGGCATCAGCATGAGACGCAATACAGTAGCATCGAGACTCGTCCAGCAGCTACATCTGAACCACGTGTTCTTGGCATCTGGAACAGAAAGGCATCTCTAATTAGCTGCTCCCCAGCTTGTGATGTGCAGAGCAACAGTCCTGAATTCGTCTGCCTGTTTTTATGGTGATGAGCAACATCTTTTAGGAAACTGCTGGGAAGAATTTCGGTTGGAGAACTCCTAAAGTTCACTACTTGCACTAGTTTATTTGGTTAATCTTCAAACAGTGAATACTCCAGAGCAAAGCAGCTCAAGCTGCTCAGGGGTCAACCAACCACCAGCAAACGGTGACTGCAGAATTGCACACATTCTCTCTCTAGTTCAAGTGTTCCTTGTGTATAAAACAGAAATGACACATTCTCCACGCAGTCAGAATGGTTTCCAAAGGAAGGAGACGCTGACAAGAGTGATACAGAAAACCCAACAATGATCAGTTACAAAAGATTTACGTTAAGCTCACCTTATCACATCACAATGCAGGACAATCCCATGCAGCCTTGATTCCCATCTTCGTTGCTGTTGAGCTTTTTCATCCGGTACTGCCGGATCTCTCTCACCAGTGTATAAAAAGCATCTTCCACGCCCTGAATGCAAAGGATCCAAGTAAAGTGTTTTCTTTCCTTAAGCTTTTGAGATGACTATTCTTTGCACCCCAGAGTCTCTTAACATAGTTGAAAGACGTAATTCTACAGGAAGAGTAGGAGCCAGCTCATGCCATAGCTCATAAGAAGAAGAAACTAGCACTTAAATCCCAAACTCTTGGCTTACAATCTTAACTCCTCCTCAGAGGCAAACACCCAGAGGAACAGCCATTAACAGAAACAAGGCAAATTGTAACTGTAGAGGGGTCCTGTGCAGGAAAATTACTTCTTGACTCATCATCTCTGGTTTAGGATTCTTAGGATTTTCTGGATGCTGCTTAATAACTGCAGCTTTTCTGCTTCAGTCCACACTGCTGTGGGTAGAACCAGGCTGACCAGACACAGCCATGTACCCAACGCAGCTCTGAACAAGCCTATTAGCCCACTGGGGAAATCCTTCTGTAAATATAATCTTATAATTGGTCTTTGTTAAGAAGCCAAGAAAACTGAACAGGTCTGGGATGACCAATGGCACCGTCTGACCATGCCTCAGCAAGAGCAGATCAGAGAATCCCAGCCTGGTTTGTCTTGAAGGGACCTTAAAGCTCCTCCAGCTCCAACCCCTGCCCCGGGCAGGGACACCTTCCACTAGAGCAGGTTGCTCCAAGCCCCTGTGTCCAACCTGGCCTCAAACACTGCCAGGGATGGGGCAGCCACAGCTTCTCTGGGCACCCTGTGCCAGCGCCTCAGCACCCTCACAGGGAAGAATGGAGCCCTCTTCTTTTTGCAGACATGAAGCTTGGAAATAGCACAGCATAGTGCATGGGAAAACGGGAGAGCGTTCTGCATTTATCATGCAGGAAGAGGTCAGAACAAGAACAGAAGCATCTTACCTGTCTTGTTTTAGCAGACGTCTCTATGAAGGGGATTCCATAGCTTTTTGCTAATTCTTGAGCCTGTTTTGTGTCTACTGTTCTCGTGGGCAAATCACACTTGTTCCCAACTAGCACCATTGGCACATCATCCGAATCTTTCACTCTCTTGATCTGCTCTCTTTAAAAAGACAAGTATTTAAAAATTAGGAACTGTTTTCTAAAGACTTGTTTAGTTCAGTATTCAACCAAGCTTGTGCTCCAAAAACAGCTACTAAAGCTGGACAGGACTGAGGGGTTCTAACCTACAGCAATATGTCTAATAACTTCCTACACTCCATCTTCTTGTCCACATGTAACTCTACCGTTTGCCTCCTTGCCCATTTCTTTTGAGATCACGTTCTGTGTGCCCTAAACAGCACTGGTTTAACACAACCACCCAGGTAAGTGCCCCGTTCTCACCAGACTACTGAAGTATTGACACAGAACACAGATAAGCTTGAAAAACTTCCTGAAAGGACTGAGAGACTTAATATTTGTCTATTATTTACTCTTCACTAAGTCTAAGAGCAAATGGGTCTGGTGCCTTTTCCAGCCTCTGCTCTGGAGGTAAAGCCCCAGATCGTACCTGTAAAGGTTAATATCAGCAAATGATTTACTGTTGTTAATGGCAAAGACGCAGAGGAATCCTTCCCCAGTTCGCATGTACTGGTCCCGCATGGCGCTGTACTCCTCCTGCCCCGCAGTGTCCAGGATGTCCAACAGGCACGTCTCGCCATCGATAACCACCTGCTTTCTGTATGAGTCCTGGAACACACACAGGCAGACTCTGCATTAAAGCACTGCACCACTTCTGTCCACCTCGGGCAGTTTTGAGGAAAAATAAATATAAGAAGAATAAAGAAAAGTGTGAATCAGGAGCTTTTCTAGCCCTGCCTGATGAAAAGACACCAGCATTGACTCAGGGATTAAACTGTTACTCTAACCCCCCTCAACCTTTCTGACAAAAAAGCAAAGTCCTGTTCTTTGTAAGGAATTCGTTTATTGGTAGAAAAAGAAAAATTATGAACCCCATCACTGCAGCACCAGGACTGGAAACTCCAGCCTACCAACTGGTGACTTTTTCTTGTTGCCAGTGGCTGGCCGCATCCTGCCCTGGGCAGCAAGGAGTGCAACAGGCAAGGAACCTTTCAAAGAGCACCCTGGTTTCAGCTGCAGCAGTTAATTCTCTTCCCTGCAGCTGGTGCAGTGCTGTCTTCTGGCTCTAGTCTGAGAACCACACTGGTAACACTCCGATGGTTCAGTTGTTGCTCAGCAGCACTTACCCTGAGCAAGCACTTTTCAGTCTCATGCTCTGCAGCGAGGAGGGAGGGAGCAGAGCCAGGACACCCGAACTAGCCAAAGGGCTGTTCCACCCCACAGCACGTCATGCCCCGGAGAGACACTGCAGGGAGTTACCTGGAAGGGACTGATCACCGCTCGGGTCGGGCTGGGTATCGGTCAGCGGGTGCTGAGCAATTGTATCGGGCATCACTTGTGGTTGCTGGTGTTGTGTCTTCTTTTTCCCTTTTAGTTGTATATTCCCTCCCCTTGTTATTTCCCTTATCGTTGTTACCAACAGCATTACACAGTCCTTCAGCCATTAAACTGTTCTTATCTCACCCCGCAACTATTACATTAGAATCACAGACTCAACCACGCTGGAAAAGCCGTTTAAGATCAAGTCCAAACGTTCTCCAGCCCCGCATTTACCAGTCATCCGCGCGGTTAAAGCTCCACCTGTGCCTCCCTTGTTATTTCCCTTATCGTTGTTACCAACAGCATTACACAGTCCTTCAGCCATTAAACTGTTCTTATCTCACCCCGCAACTATTACATTAGAATCACAGACTCAACCACGCTGGAAAAGCCGTTTAAGATCAAGTCCAAACGTTCTCCAGCCCCGCATTTACCAGTCATCCGCGCGGTTAAAGCTCCACCTGTGCCTGCAGCTCCCGA